CAAATGGATCCAGCGGTTGTTGCTGCACCAGAAACAGTGTCTTTAGGCGGTTTCTCCATTTTGGGGCTGCCTGAGACCGCGATGTTGGTCGCCTCGAAATTCGGAACCATGTTCTTGTGATTCTTGAAGAGAGGAACGAAACAGTGCTCTGTGCCTTCCTTGATATATAGAGGGAGAGTTGGAAAATACATACCATATAGGTGTCGACAGAGAACTCGAGAAACGTTATGTCCTCAGATGGGTAGACAGCTCTACTGTGTACCTACATAGTGGACGAAACAGTGCTCTGTGCCTTCCTTGATATATAGAGGGAGAGTTGGAAAATACATACCATATAGGTGTCGACAGAGAACTCGAGAAACGTAATGTCCTCAGATGGGTAGACAGCTCTACTGTGTACCTACATAGTGGACGAACTTCTATAAATACTAATTGATGAGGGCGTCCGCTGCCAGGGATATGCGGACGGCATAATGATTATTGCCAGAGGGAAGTTCGCAAGTACCCTCTGCGACATCGTCCAAAGAGGACTTAACCTAGCTAAGAGGTGGTGTGCGGATATAGCTTTGAATATCAATCCATCAAAGATAGCTATAGTCCCATTTACCCAAAAACGGACCCTTAAGGGGATGAGGAACTTAACCTTGGACTAATGTCAAGCCGGCAACCTTCAGGGCTACGTCTAGCGGGTAAGTTCTGGGGTTGTCTTCCAACAATAATTGGGTGGATGTACACCATGATTGTGTTTGCATTACGGGGGCAATGCGCACATATCCTACGGCAGCACTGGAGGCATCTATCAGCCAAATAAGCTGCAAAGCGGACTCTCGTTAATTTTGCGCAAGAGTGGGCTTTGGAAAAGGCAAAGTTTACTTCCAGGAGCAGAGACAGGCTGCGCTCTCAATTCTGCTCTCCAGGTACTACATGACTAAAGTAGTGATTTTCGAAAGAAACTAAGTATAGGTTGAAATACACAGCATGGTGACCTGGAGTGCCTTTGTCATGGAGAGACACGTCCAAGTGTTATTGCCCTATACTGAAGCTTTCAGTGCCCCTGATAACCTTCTGGTAAATATTTCAAGCGGAAGTTAATGCCATCGGTGTGCTGACGAGAATATCCTGATCGATATCAAGTCCTCGGTGGTTCTGAATTGTGTACAGAAGATTAATGTTCTGACTGAGAATAACACCATCCAATGGGAGTCGGAGGCAATGAGGAAGCAGACCATCTGGCCAGACTGGCTGCTGTCTCAACCCCTATAAGACCGGAGCCCTTTCTTTCAATAGGTCCCAACACGATAAAGGAAGCGCTCAAAAAGGAACACTTCAAGCTACGGGAACTGTATTGGCGTAATACCAAGGGACTTCATCAATCCAAAAGCTTCCTAAGAGGGTACAATCTAAAAAGATACATGTTACTCATAGACGTCCCTAAAGAAATACTAAGGATCATTACAGGTATTCTAACGGGTTACTGCAGAGGGCAAGAAGTGAGAGGAGCATAGGGCGTTTGTGGTCAAGAGAGAACCACATACACTTTTTACCCCCCCCCCTCCGTATCAATTCTGAAATTCTTAGAGTCTGAGCTGAGGGCACAAAATACCTACTAGTCGCAGTGCTTTATTTAACTATCTATCTATCTATCTGTGTATCTCAGGGGTTAGGTATAACCTCAAGTCGGCTCTGGACTTATTGAGTATTACTTCTTCTAGGCTGCGTTTTACATAAATTCTTTGTATAATTTTTAATTTCATCCATTTTTTTCATTCCTCATCATTTCGTCTACTTCCTTTCCTCCATTACACTCACTTCAGCTCAGTCCATTCTATCTAGCCCCAATCGTTCGATTCTCTTCGATCATATGAGAATTTCCTCATACAACTCGCAAGAATTTCCCCATACAAGTACAGCGTCCAAAATCATTCCCGCCGGGTTCTACTTTAGACTAAATTGGTTGTAGTTAAAATTCTAACTGCAGCTCATATTTGTTGCCAACAGATACAAGCGACTACGTATGCGTCACTTGTGTTCGAAACAAACACTTGGGCACGTACAAATACGACTGCCAAATAACATACAGAGCTAGTAGTAGACAATTGATTGGTAACATGCTCTTAACACATGTTACCCACATTGCTGACCAATGCAAACGCACACACACACTCGTTCAATATGTATCACAGCAACAACAGACAGGCCTACAAGTATGGGACAAGCTGGTGGTTAGCTTAGTCAGTTACACAGTTGTACGTATTGCAAGCATTGTGAATATGTTTATGGATGCGTACATACATACATAAAAATACTATCCCACTAGAACTTGAAGGGAGATCTCCCTATATGAGAAATAAAAGAGTACTCCCCTTGACCTGATTTCGGAGTAACAAGATAGACTTGTCGGTTTTGTACTCCTTTATTACTCGCTTAGGATTCAAATAGGAGATCTCCTAAGCGAACAAGTAAAGAATGCTCTCTGAGCCCTGATTTAGGAGCATTAAACGAGATTTTTTGGTTTTTTTTCACTCCTATATTGCTCGCTTAGGAGAGTAATGGGATATTTTCTAAGCGAGCAGTTAAGTTCTGTATGAACTCCCTGATTGCTCATTTAGGGGGTAAACGGGATTACTCGCCCCCTAGGACATCCCGTGTTAAAGGGAGTGTACAAAATTACAGGCTTACACAGAAGCATAGGGAGCAATGGGGAGTAGTCGTATACTCCAAGGGAGTACTCACCGAGCAATCGTACGATGATCCCAAGTTCTACTGGGATGTAGCACGTGGCTATGTATGAGCTATTATGTCGATAGCATACTTTTAGGGCTTTGAAGCGGAAATAGGCATTTTGGCCTGTTCACTAACATAAAGCCAGGCAGGCAGCCAGGCAGGCAGCCAGACGGGCACTCGGTTGGCATTCAATGTCAGCTTGAAACGAGTGACGGCGATTGCTGACTGACTGACTGACTGGTTGGGCTGGCTGTTGATATGATGTTTCACTGTTGATGATGTTTGATCATTTTGGCTGCGATGGTGAAGTTGGTGGTGTTGGCGGCGACTGCCTTGGTGGTAGTAATGGTTTACACTGTAATCATGATTTGAGTTTTTAACGCGAAACCATTGGTCATAAGCGCTGATGGCGAGGACGATGATGATGGGAATGCGGCTGTGGCTGTGGCTGCTGCTGCTATTGCTGTTGCTGACGTTGGCCACGACATTTGGCAGCTGTGGCCATGTCAAAAAGTGGTCAATGTAAACGGCAAGCGTGATGTGCAAACTCTATTTTTTTCTTATTTTTGTTGTTGCTATGAGTTATTCACATTACATCGGTTATTTGATGCGCTGAGAGAGACACTTACAAGCACATACAAGTACATACATGTCTACAAACTCACGTATCGAATCTACTTTGTTGACTTGCAAATTTTTTAAAGCCATATTTATGTACATAGTTGCTTATGTTATGCATGCTAGTGTCAATTATGGTTGATTAATGCTCTTATATCCTCTAACCACAGCTTTTCTACGCCCACATAAATAGTTCCTGTTATGTTTCACAACAACGGCTGTGTTGTTTTCTAACACCGTGCGACAGTAAATCTTAAACACACAAAAATTTATATATTCGCTAAACTATGAGTAAATTATAGTAAAACTGCGTACTCAGTTTTTCTCCCTGACGTTAGGATTTTTTTGAAAGGACTTTGAAATTAAAAAAATATGATTATTTCAAAAACTTTTTTAAAAAATTCAGTGCAATGTAGGATAACAATAACGGTACCATATAAAAGAAAAAACTCCAAAAAAAAACATATGCAACAAGAAGTATGAAAAATGTCCTTTACGACTTTTGTCCTTACATATCCTTGAAAATTTGCAATATTAATTTTTGAAAAAGTTATTGCCTGAGGACTAATATACACACGACCTCATCTTCGAATTTCGTTCTACAAACTTTATTAACTTAAAAATATAAAATATCGAGCCATAACCGCCAAAATAACATAAGCGACATTTTTTTCAAAATTTTCTTTTTTGATGCAGAAATATTCCTAGAACATCTCGATGCATTTTTGCATCAAAAATAAAATTTTGAAAAATATCTCGCTTACGTTATTTTGGCGGTTAGGGCTCCATATTTTGAAGGCGCATTTTCAATACCTATTCGTCTTTGCAAACCAAAAAACTTTATTGTTTTTAAATTCAACAGAATTTTCTCTCCCATTTGGTACCCATATTGTTATTCTGAATTGCACTGATTTTTTTAAATAATTTTTTGAATTAAACATATCCTTAAAATTTCAAAGTCCTTTGAAAAAAAATCCTGAAGTCATATTGAAAATCTTAAAACGCAGTTTTACTATATTTGGCCCATTGTTTTGTTAGTATTTATATCGACTCCTTCGTGTGTTTTGAATTATTATTTTTTTTGTATTTGTCGCACGTTGTAATATACATATGCCACACGGTCTTCAAAAGAGTCGCAACTCAAAATTTGGCATTTTTGAGATTATGCGCTAAATATGTACGCAGAGCTTTTATTTAACTTTCAGCAAAAGTTGGAGCAAATTTTTGTTATAATTTGTTCAAAAAAAAATAAGGTCAAACCGCCCTTGCCCGTATGATTAGCATGTAGCATAGTTGACTTCAAATAACACAAAATCGTATGAGTACAATGGCCACTTTTTTGTAAAAGAACTAACATGGCCATAATAAACCTCATATCGAACATCATTTATACTCACGAAGGCGGAATCAAGGTTAGTAGTGAGCTGCAAAAGTATACTGAAAAACTTGGATTCCGTAACCGGTTTACGTTATGGTGAGCTCCAAGGAATAACAGCTGTTACGGTAACGAAAGGGCTGATGCTATCGCAATATGAGGAGCCAAACGCGGGCCTACATGGATTTTGGATTTGCTACCCCTGAATTTAGCGATCCAAGAGGAGGCGATATCTTGTCTGAATGTTTTGTTTTTTTACACAATTGTGTTGCTTGGGCTTAAGTTAAGGTTTTCGTGCAAACTCACAATTGTGTTATCTGATCAATTTCAGGAAAAAATATAGACTTATCAAGGGATTCCGACCTTCAAATGGTCTTGGACATACTTGAGAATTCCGATGCTAGCTTTTCATCTGACGATGATCTCGAAAATGACTACTTAACGCTGGAACAAATGGAAGAAAGTGACAGTTCAGATGAAGATGACTCTGAAAGAGGTATTTTTCTAGTTTCTTTAATTTTTATTTTCATTTTACCGTGTTAATTTTCATCTTAATAATTATCGTGCTTGCAGATTTAATTCCAGAAAATTTCGTAATTAATCAAAAAGCCACTACATCACAAAGAACTGATCTTTGGAAAAAAAGGAATTCGTGGTTCACGATATTCCTATCGTGCAGGGCTGTGAGAATTTCGTTGAACTTGGAACACCTCTTAATTACTTTTCGAAGTATTTCACAGAAACCCATTACACGGATGCGGTTAAATATACCAAAATGTATACTCTTGCGACATCTGGCACCGAAATGAGCTTAACCGAAACCGAGTTAAAAAACTTGTATGGCTGTGCCATTATAATGTCCTGTCTAGGTTATCCACAAATGAAAATGTATTGGGAAGACAACTATAGGTGCGAAATAATTGCTGCCTCCATGTCAAGAAATAGATTCATGAGATTTAAAAATACCATTCATTTTGTTGATAACAACAAACCAAGCGAAACGAATAAGCTATGGAGAGTTCAGCCCGTGATTGACCTGGTAAGAAGCCGATGCAATGAACTAGCGTCTGCGGTTACTTCATACTCTATTGATGAGCAAATAGTCCCGGCATCTACCAGGCTCAGCCAGGCAAGTCATCAGGCCAAA